GTGTGTGTGTGTGTGTGTGTGTGTGTGTGTGTGTGTGTGTGTGTGTGTGTGTGTGTGTGTGTGTGGGCTCTGAGCACGCAGCGTGTAAAGCATGCCAGCAGGAACTGGGTCATACTCTGTAAAACTACAGTACTTACCCGTCAAGTCATAACACCCTTTACACCTGCCAATATGAGGTGCCTAGAGCGTTGTTATTACTTTACCCATTCTCGTGGCTTGAGGATATCCTCTCCCTAACCAACGTTGTGCTAGAGCAAACAGCTGTAGCGCGACACAAACTATGTAACCTTTCACGTAATCTGTAGGTATCCGGATGTCATGCTAGTTAAATGTTAACAATAGCAAATTATTATAACCGAGATAAGTTGCATTAAAGATGTTCTTTCCTCCAAGTCTATCTTATAATTACAGTATATTGTACCTGGATGAGGTTCTGGGAGTACTGAAGTTCTACTCTCCAAGCCCGGCCCGGGGCCAGGCTTGACTTGAGAGAGCTTAGTCCAACACTGTCTCTTGAAGCGGCCCACAGGCCCACTACAGCCCGGTTGGTCAGGCACTTCTTGCAAAAAAACTGTTTAATTGTTTCTTGAAAATGTCTACATTTGTTCCGTCACATTGGTGATCAATATGTTCGTATATTTGCCATGTCTAATTATAATTAATGTTTACAAAACATATATTTATTCATTGTGGAAATTATGTATTTGGAAAGACGGTAATTACTTTGTTTCCCAGCTTACAGAAGAGCGCCACTGTCTACATGACATAGGTGTCACAATATCCTTAATTTTGCTAGGCAAAAATGACTAAATTATCCCTATCTGTAATACCCTAATTCACAATGATTCAGTGGCTGTCTGTATAGAATATATCTTACCTGAACGTTACTTGAAAAATTACTGACACTTCGGAAATACCGGAGCTCCGGAAATAACGACCAGGGTACAGCCCCATATAGGCCGTTAAATCGAGTGGATACTGTTGGAGGCAATGGTATTAGAGGAAGGGGAACGGGTAAGTACAGTTGCAGTAGGGTTTGGTTATTTCAAAGAACACAGATTGATTGATTGATAAAGATTAAGCCACCCAAGAGGTGGCACGGGCATGAATAGCCCGTAAAAAGAACACAGAGGGCTGGCATAAATCAGCCTAACCTTACATGTCTGCAAGCTCATGGAGAGAATCCTATACGAGTAAATCATTCACAATCTCTCGGTGAACAATCTAGTATAAAAAAAACTGGCAATGAAATTACAAGCACGTGGAATAAATGGAAAAGTATTAGAGTGGATTAAACAATGGTTAAAGCAAAGAAAACAAAGGGTCGTCCTAAATGGAAACGAATCTGACTGGAGAAATGTTGAAAGTGGGATACCACAAAGGTCCATCTTGGGGCCAACACTTTGTCATACATCAATGACATGAAAAATTACAAACCACATTATCAAATTTGCAGACACTAAGATCAACGGTGAAGTTGGAAGCAAAAAATGACATCGAGTCCTTCAGAGAGATCTTTATGAATTCTACAAATGGTTAGAAGACTGGCAAATGTTTTTTAACATTTGAAAAATGAAAGACCTTGTATGAAGGGCATAACAATGAACATCACAACAATCAAATCAACAATATCATGCAACAGACTGAAGAAAAGGATCTTAGGTCAGAATCCGCCAGTTATTAAAAGTTGCAGTAAAATTAACAAACCTTGACTTCAAAGAAAAAGTGGTTATTCAACTGAACAAGTCTTTGGTGCACCCCTTCTAGGCTATTGAACCCAAGTGTGGAGACTTCATCTACAAATAGGTATATCTGTACTGGAACAACTTCAACGGTGACAAAAAAAATCATCCCAGAACTATGTCGACACCCATACTAGGAACGGTTGAGGGTCAGAGGACTAACAAGAGTGCAAACCAGACATAACAGGGCTTATCTCGTAAAATCTAAGCCACAATGTAGGGTAGAAGACAAGAGACACTTTCTCGCTCATAGTTATAGACCCCCTAAAACTGCCTACCCACCAAATTCATACCTCAAGACAACTGCACTTCAGAATCCAGTTAAAAAAAATTATCAGGAAAAATAGGAAGGGGGGGGGGGACCTTTGATAAGCCATTGGGTTCCTCTTCCAATCATGGCCACCAGATGGTGACCTTCAGGTAAATTCAAGTAATTAAATGGATTTAAGTGAGAGACCATTGTAAGTGGGTTAGCCTAGGGCCTTGTGTTGTTTACCATATAAATGATTAAACACAAAATTGAATAGCAATGAACAAATCCACAAAGGCCGTGATGAGGGTTCTAACCTACGCACGGTATGTTCCCAGCTGCGCCTTGGTCAACTGTGCCACGACAAGGTAGAAGAATTGCAACCTGGAGTGCTACTGCCCTCACTAGGATCCCAAAGCTTCTCCGAAGCCCAATCAGGTTTTCACACAATTCCTCCATGCACCTGGGCTCTCAACCAAATGTTTACCGTCCTTCAGTAATTTGATTGACAAGAGCCCGGGTGAATGGGGGAACTGTGAGAAAACCTCATTGGGCTTCGGGAGCCTATTGAGGGCAGTAGTACTCCAGGTTGCAATTCTTTTACCTTGTCATGGAACAGTTGACTAAGGCGCAGCTGGGAACAGCTGTTGATACATCACGCTATTGTGATTTCTGTGTGTATTGAATAGCAATATTTGCAAATTTGCAGAAACAAAAATATGGCAGAAGATAAATTCAGGATACAAAATCACTACAATATGATCTAGATTATTAATACTCCAGTGTTAATAATAGTTACCAGATATCAATTAGACAAATGTTGAAATTGTAAAAGTCAAAAGGCAAGTGAGATCAGTCATGATTAAAAGGGATCTTAAGCCAAAAAATTAAATGCATAAATGTATGGAATAAAGGAAATAGGATTATGGGATTTATTTCTAGAAGCATTAACAAGACATCTAGTATTAATCATAGATTTATCTTGCCCTCATTAGGCCCATATAGATTATGCAGTTGATATAGATATAGATTTATGATTATAGATTCATATAGATTTATGCAGTTTTGGTCAAACTAGAATGGACTTATCAAAAGAAGGCACCAAGCTGGGAAGCTTTGTGCTGATACTACAACGACACTATTACCATCAGTGTTGCAGCACATTTGAAGGGCACTAAATATCAAGGATGCAAATATGAGAAAAGCACAAAGCGAGCAATATCAAAGGTATCGAGAATGGACAAATTCCCTTTAATGCATACAGAGAATGATGACAATGTTAATATCAGGAATTAGAAACCTCCATTATGAAGATATTAAAAATGCTAAATTTACACTATCTAGAAAGACGACATTATTAAAAGATGTAAATGGATAAAGGATATAACAAAGATTTCAAATACAAAACAAAAATATAACTCGAAACAATGGATATAATTTGGGCAAGTTTAGAGTCGGGAATAACTATAAATACTTGAAAACAGGGTTGTTGATTTATGGAACAAATTCCTGGTTAACATCACAGGATTAATGGATTGTTTCAAGTGTAAGTTAAATATAAACAGTGCACAAGTTTGGGTGGGAATATGTATAGATTGAGAACCTTCAGACAATACTGTTATGCTTCAGTTATATTGTACTGATTAGCCAAGTGACAATGAATCCATCATTCTTCCAGTACAGTATTCACTTTGCTGGTTTCATCCAGTAAATTTGGTACAGACCAAAAAAATTCATTACAAAGCATGCGAGACTGATACACGACCTAACCACAGCTGTTTCCCCACATCTATTACTGTGGTAGGAGAAAAGCAATGGAGAAAGTTAGTTAATTAACTCTAATGCCCAACAGTTACAGAATGAATGACTGGGTAGAAATAAGAGTAAGGAATCCCGTTCCAAGAAGTATAGTACAAATAGCCTCCTTAAAAACAGTGTCTGCAAGTTCATTCAAGGTAACTCCATTATGGCTGGTAACCCAGTGAAATTAGTCATGTATTTCAAACACCACAGAATGCAAACGGTTAAAAAGATGCAAGAGCCATGAGAGAACTGTGAGACTACCACAATGACAAAGTAACATTGACAAAGAAAAAACAGCCGACAAAGAACATACAAAATGGCATGAACTTTCTGGCTTGAAAACATTAATTTATGGAAGGCAGCAGCACAAAGGTTCTATAAAAAAAAATTAAGTATCCAACACCAATATTCCATTTGCAGACTTGAGACCCATTTGAAGAGAGCAACCAAGGAAAAGGTTTTTTGACAGGTGTAGAAGACTTTACCATGAGGGATATCTTGCAAAATTTCACAAAAACAGACATTGCAAATGTGAACAAAATCTTGCAAACTATCCCTGTAAAGGAAAAAAAAGGTAGCAAGAGGGAACAGGCAAGACAGTAGTGATAACTGTCTCGAACAGTATTTTTGCTTCAACATACAAGCTCTGGGTGGGAGGACGAATGAAAAAGACCACCAAGCCGAGGCATAACAATATGGTGTAAAGCACCAGGATGACAAAGAAAGGGTCGAGTGAAAAGTAGAAGATCAGGCAAGGCAGTCAGGGTCTAGTTTAGATAGCATAAGTTAAGTGCAGATAGAGAAATGTAAAAATGTAAAAAATGTAAAAATCTTTACGGGAAATCCATCAAATACCGAGTTTACAAATGGGAAGAACAACTGTCTATAGCCAGTCCTCGGGATCTGTCATCTCCCAAATATGGTTATAGATACTCATCAAATACGGAAAGGCAGAGGGAGATGATGAAATGTCTCCTAGTGAATGCCATACCAAAGATCTGCAGAAGGATAAAAGACACGAGTTCAAAGATCATAGGGTAGTCGAGTGAGATAGTACAAAAGGGGGGGGGGAGAATTCAATAAAGGGCTTACGAGTAAAGAAAGTTGGTTACCACTGGCCGAGAAGAGATCGTCTCTTGAAAACTATAACCAGCAGATACTGAACACCAAATAAACCATCTTATAATTTCAATAAGAATGCAAAATAGATTTTACTATTTTTTATTTTGTTTGTTTATACAAAAAGTATTTAGTTACATACTTATTTACAGAAATAATATATAATTCAAGAAAATATCCTTTAAAAAGTCTATACAACACTTGGATACATTATCCTTAAAATTTTGTTCAAGGAAAACATTTGTAATTATCTGAAAACCACAAAATATCTTTATCTTGGCTTTTCTTTCACCACACAAATATAATAGCCGATTAAAAAAAATAGATGTTTAATTGGAAATAAAACATCTTTATACTGCTCATTAATACATTTAATAAACTGCACTTCGCATTTCATTATGCTTCTACTTTTATTTCTGCCTAAATCATGTATACTAAATAGCAGTTTGAAAGATGGTACTGAACTTCAATAAATTGCACTTTCAACATTTCTTCTGAATATGAGAATACACGTAGCATTAACTACCGAGTACATTCTTTAACTTGAGCGAAAACTACTAGTTCAAAAATAGTTGGAGATATGGAAGCCAATTTGACACCATGTTTCAAGTTTGTTATACGAGGCGTTAAAATTAAGCCAAGATGAAAATCCTCAGTATATGGGAATAATGCACGAGACATTAATACTGCGACATGTTGTTGCCAACTTTTCCATGAAAGAAAAGTTGTATAAATTATGGGAACAAACACACTGCTCAATAATTAAATGTCTTATTTTGCTGTCATGACATTTTCATACATTTTAAATTTAATTCATGCCTTAATAATACTAACCAATTTGTACCCAAGTAAAAGCACAGATATTTGCAATAAGGTGTAAAATATGATGACTATTAAAATCTATGTGTATATTGATCTTTCAGTTTATCTCGTGATGAAAAGGCAATGTATACAGCAGATAGGCCTAGTCCAACCAATCCTCCCATGGCACATTTTCTCAGTCCAGCAGTCGATTTATACAGGAGTCCCGTCATAGTTGCAGCCCCTACGGTGTTGACTTCATCCTCGTGGCTACCACGGGCATAGTACAAGAGGCATCCCAACCCAGAGTACATGAATGCAACAACTCCAAGAGTATTAGCAGAGGCAGACCCACGCTTCATCAGACAATTAAGCAACCTGCAAATTAAAAACTTTCACTTAACGCTGCCTGGGAAAAAGGGGGGGGGGGGTTATAATGCAGCATTTACTTCTCGGAAAACTCTGTTTAAAAATTTCCTCGTCAAAACTTACTCCGAGAGAAACCTTGCAACCTATATTTAAAAAATGGTAATACAGTACTTATACTATATAAAAATAGATTGTTGCAAGCAAATTAATTATATTTTGGACTTATTTGCAGTACAGAAAGTAACCAAACCTAGTGTTAGGTCTAGACTTGCTTATTTAGGCCTAGAACAAATCAGGTTTTTTAGTTACCTATAACTAGCGTACTAAACCATGTAAGTATTTCAATAGTACAAAGCGTGAACATTTGGGCACAACAATCTATTTTTGTACATTTGACCAATAGTTGCCATAAATATAAATTTTTGGAGGATGGGCTGAAAATTGTCTAGTATCAAATGAACAATAGCCAATAAAGCTGAATAGGCAATACAATGAAAAGCAAACCCTTCCACATAGCTCCACAACTTGGTTTGATAAACAAGATCTCCAAATGAAGAAACCAAACCACAAACAATGCTTGTATTGTCAATATCTTTACTGCAAACTGACAATCATAGAAATTCCTCCAAAATATTACAGCAAAACAAGGAAACATTATTTACACTACAATGCAATTCTACTTGAACGAAGTTCACAAAAAATGACCAGACCCGCTCACTTAGTGACGATCGCGCTTGAAGAATTTCACTTTTTGCGCTTTTGTTTTTTTAATATAAAAGTAATTATTATACATCACGCCATGGGTCCCAAGAAAGTCTGTGGCAAGGTTCAACCCAAGAAAATAGTTGTGAGTAGAGGCAATCTCTTCCTTATTAAGAAAATGTGTGCAGTATGGGAAGAACTGCAAAGTTTTGTTGAAAAAACTCGCCCAGATAAAGCTGTAGCAGGGCGTTGCATTGACCTTTTGAATGACAATGTGATGTCTCACTACCGACAAGTGTAAAAATGTAGGGAAAACAAGTGTGTATAGACAGATTCTTAGTAAGACAAGCAAGCAGTGAGCCACAACCAGGTCCTAGGGGTATGCCTGCAAAATGCAGGAGGGAGTACACCCCAGAAAAGTCATCACTGCCTGATGTTATAATGGAACAGACTCCCCTTCCAAACAGCAACACCTCTCCTTCCCCCCCACCCATCTCACAAGAAGAGCCCTCAATAACTTGCATTGCCGAGCATAGAAATGTCACTACAGTCTTGCGATTTTCTTGTGTAAATGAATAATGTACTTAAATTTGTCATCAACAAAGCTGTAAATGCACATCCATTTACAAATAGATTTTCAATTTTGTCACCTCTTACTCGTTGCCTTTCTCGAGAAGGTAAATTAAGCGTTCTTAACCTTCAGATGGGAGCTACCTATATCCTAGGATTAACCAATCATCCTCTATATTCATTCAAGTGAATTCATGTCCTTTAGTATGGTGACGTAAATTGAACTGCATAATCTAAGTGTAGGTAACAAGAGCCAGATGAAGCTGAAGAGTACCAGTACGTGCCTGTTTTGTCGCCAAGCCTAGACATTTATTCCAGTATCCAAATTACCTTATTCCATACATTTGTTTTGCTTTTCTTTTTGCTGAACATATCTAGTAACCCCTACATTGCTCACCTTTTCAAGCTGACAACCCCCAGGTGTGCAAGAAATTTCTAATCCATTTAAAATTCATTCCCTGATCACAGGAAAAATTATAACATTTTGTGTCACTTTGAGCATGGAGGTGGTCAGAAAGCTTGCGATATGATTTACGAGTTAGTTCTTCTACGACATTATCATTAAATAATCAGTTTTTTTTATTTATTTATTTCATCATTAAAGTGCTGCTGCGAGCTGCTGCAAGTGCTACTCATTGTCGCTCTCTCAGTACCGAGAGTGTGCGCACACAGGTGACCAAGTTTTTTTTCACATTCGTTTACGGGAGGCCTGAGGGAGCAGATGCGAGCCCCATATACCCTCAGGAGTCAAATCTTACGCTGTACTTAAAAGCATTCCCGACTGTGTCATGCAGCTTATGAATATTTGCTTAGAACATACCTTGTTGTATCGCACAATGGAAGGGTTAATCATGATGCTTTCATTTACATTTAACAATTTCAACATTAGCCAGCCGATATCTGGTAACCAGCTATACAATTTTTCTTTAAAATTCAAGCAATGACTTTACTAATACTTACTGTGTGCGTCTGATTTTGCCTGTGTGACCTGCTGCTGCCGTCTCCTGGATGCCCCCATACAGCCCTTGGGCTCCACCCACACCAGCACCAAGCAAGCATGACCCTTCAAACAAAACAGTTTACATAGGGGATAAAGATATGTGGGTAGCAACAACCTACAATTCCAAATCAAGAGTATAAAAAGGTTTTATTATAAGACAATATTTATGATTAAAAAATATTTATGTTTTCTTAAAATGCAATAAGATGTTAACTATTTGCTAAAAAATAACCCATACTAAGAATTACCCAAACATGTAATAGAGTTCTTATTCTGCTTTACAGAGTAAATCATAAAACCAATTAATTATTGATTAAATAAGGAGAACTGTTTAATTAACTTCTTCTGAGTAATAGTTAATGAATGTTTGAAAATAAATGCAGATAAACTAAAGAATTGGTTCTATGAAGCACTAGAGAACCTTATACTTCACATCTGTAACAAGACCATACAAAATCTCGACAATTACAGCAGTGAATTTAAAAATATCCATATAAACTTTCCTACAAATTTAATAATTTATAAATAAATATAAATACAAATTTTCACCCATAACCTGACAATGTTACCAATGACTAGCTTCAGTACATAAACTTTTACCAGTCTTAACATTAAACTATTATATACCGAGTATTTACTCTTGGGCAGACCCAGGAGATAGTGTACATTGTGATGCTTTTATATAGTGCAACACAAGTTACTTGGCAAGAAGTTCTCGTCTCGCATGAAGTCGAATGTCATTAAACTTTCAGCATGCCGAACAGTCTATTAAATGTCAAACTTTCCAATGTGCAGACGAGGAGTCACAAAAAAGTGGCTGAAATATGTTGACCAAACCACACACTAGAAGGTGAAGGGACGATGACAACGTTTCAGTCCATCCTGGACCATTCTCCAAGAAATGGTCCAGGACGGACCGAAACGTCGTCGTCCCTTCACTTTCTATTGTGTGGTTTGATCAACATTTTCCACTGTGCATTATAGCAGAGTATGACTAAAGTTTCAACAATGTTACAATTTCTAGTGCACATTATATAATTCTGGACTTCAAAACCAAAAAGCAGGCTCTTGTAAATTTATCAAATAACCTCACATAGAGACCTTATAAGTAGGAAAACTAGACATTGAAATGACATGTAATAATGGTGTTTCACTCATATCCACTACAATATCATACATTTAGCTCATACCATTAAAAATCAATGAAAGTGGAAAGAAATTAAGTTCTTGCAAAGGTTTGATATGCAATGGACTTGCAGCCGAATTCCCTCTGGCTTAATATTTACAATGTTAGCAGCCCTCTGCAAATACAAAGCAAGAAAGACCCTGCAGGACAGTCCTAAAGTTTACAAACGACTTTAAATCTCAAAATTATTCGCTTACTTCCTACATTGGTAACTTCAACTAGGGATCCACCTGGGTAGTATACTTATGTAAGAGAGACCAATGCAAGCATTGCATTGGTCATACAGTGCATGCATTGCACCCACACTCTCTCATGCACCCATAAATGCTTGATGTCATATGGGCACCAGTTATGACTCAAATAGCCTAAAGGATGCACGTTATGAACATAGGCTAAAGTAGCTAAATATTACAATGCTAGAGAAAAAACCACCGAGGAAGGGGGGGGGGTTCAATGCCACAACATTGAAGTATCAACAAGATGGGTAACAGGCTGTCTAGGAAGGATAACCAAATAGGAACCGAGAATGCAAATAACCCAGACACAGAAGGGATTTCTTAAGAACTAGAGTACTTTAGTTATTTAACAGAAAACACCAACGTAGAATAGACAAGTCAAATGGTTGCACAACTAATCCAACAGAGTGGGGGAAGGAATCACCTCTCAATACATAGCAAGTGGAGTCCAGCGCCTTAAGAAGCTCAATTTCACTAGACAGGTAGCTAAAGTATACACAAGAAACATACAAAACTCAAGGTGAAACTAACCTCCAATCTGTGAAAATGCAAGTTCAAAACGTCCCCGTTTCTGTGAAGCTCCTTCTAATGCAATAAATTCTGGCTGAGTGGTTTGAAGGTAAGCAGGGTCAAAGTTCAAGTACGGTGACAGCTGAGAAAGTCCAGGATTTGATGTTACTGAAATGCACACCACAATCATTATTCAAGAACATTAAAACAAACATTGAAAACATTGGGTAGTATAAATATAGTACATTAGACCCTCCAAAAATCTGTATCCTATCCTTCTGTACACATTAAGCATTAATGGGAGATCTGTACAGGTATTTCTAAAATATTGCCTTATTGGGATTATCACCAATTCTCCAATTTTGTTTATGGGGAATTTTTTTGTTTTTTTAAAATACTAGTTGTCAAATGTCTTTCCTAATGCACCAAATTTTCCTCCTAAAGTTGCAATGGTATGGATGCTATGGACAATAAGATAGATGTGTTCTACATATTTATACTGCTATAACTATGTTGGAAATGGGGAAAATATCAATCTGTCCGAACACTGGTTCTCTGGCATTTAATCCAGTAGTATGCACTGAAACTTTGGACACCGTAAATATTCCACGTACATCATGCATTCCAGTGTCATTTTAAAGAAAAATGTCCATGCCATAACCCTTAAAAATAATGCAGTAGTATTTTTTAATCCAGCAAAAAAAAAAAATGTTTAACCAAGTGTTAGACTGTGTTAATTTTTTTTTATGATGATCCATCACAAAATTTGTATTCGTATCGCGTGGATACACGTTTCAGCCTGTTGATAGGTTTCAGCCTTTTTACCCAAAACACTGTACGTATTAGTGGCTTTAGGCATAGTATATACTAGCTATCTAGAAATCCAACATTCTATTTGTAACACGCATTGTATGCATGTACTTTTCCCAAAATAATAATTATTATTATTATTACAAAATACCCAAAGCCCTTCATCTTAACCCTAATGAACCCCAACCTTATCTAACTCATCATATACTAGTAATATACACCTGTTTAAAAATAATTGTCAAAGTTTCTAAAAAGATTTGACCGTTCCCCAATCTTGCAAAGGCATTTGAACAAAGCTAGTTTTCTAAATTTTTGAAATTCTAAATATTGTTAGATTAGGTAGAATTGGACAAGGTTGACACACTAGGTATATTTAAAATCCATCGGACACCAGCCGAGGAACCAGCCCCAGGCACCACCACACCACACCACCAGCCGAGGCACCAGCAGCCACAGGCACCAGAGGCACCAGCAGCCACAGGCACCAGAGGCACCAGCAGCCACCAGAGGCACCAGAGGCACCAGCAGCCACCAGAGGCACCAGAGGCACCAGCAGCCACCAGAGGCACCAGAGGCACCAGCAGCCACCAGAGGCACCAGAGGCACCAGCAGCCACCAGAGGCACCAGAGGCACCAGCAGCCACCAGAGGCACCAGAGGCACCAGCAGCCACCAGAGGCACCAGAGGCACCAGCAGCCACCAGAGGCACCAGAGGCACCAGCAGCCACCAGAGGCACCAGAGGCACCAGCAGCCACCAGAGGCACCAGAGGCACCAGCAGCCACCAGAGGCACCAGAGGCACCAGCAGCCACCAGAGGCACCAGAGGCACCAGCAGCCACCAGAGGCACCAGAGGCACCAGCAGCCACCAGAGGCACCAGAGGCACCAGCAGCCACCAGAGGCACCAGAGGCACCAGCAGCCACCAGAGGCACCAGAGGCACCAGCAGCCACCAGAGGCACCAGAGGCACCAGCAGCCACCAGAGGCACCAGAGGCACCAGCAGCCACCAGAGGCACCAGAGGCACCAGCAGCCACCAGAGGCACCAGAGGCACCAGCAGCCACCAGAGGCACCAGAGGCACCAGCAGCCACCAGAGGCACCAGAGGCACCAGCAGCCACCAGAGGCACCAGAGGCACCAGCAGCCACCAGAGGCACCAGAGGCACCAGCAGCCACCAGAGGCACCAGAGGCACCAGCAGCCACCAGAGGCACCAGAGGCACCAGCAGCCACAGGCACCAGAGGCACCAGCAGCCACAGGCACCAGAGGCACCAGCAGCCACAGGCACCAGAGGCACCAGCAGCCACAGGCACCAGAGGCACCAGCAGCCACAGGCACCAGAGGCACCAGCAGCCACAGGCACCAGAGGCACCAGCAGCCACAGGCACCAGAGGCACCAGCAGCCACAGGCACCAGAGGCACCAGCAGCCACAGGCACCAGAGGCACCAGCAGCCACAGGCACCAGAGGCACCAGCAGAGGCACCACCAACACACCAGCCCCAGGCACCACCAGGCCAGCGGTCACCGTCACACCAACACTCACAAGGAACGTTCATGCCGGGGTCTGAGGCGCCATATGACGGGCTGACGAGGCCGAATAGGCTTCCACTCCTGTTGTCCATGGCCATGGTCACGTGTGGGCGCTATAGTACACCAGCAGGAGCAGCAGCAGGAGGAGGAGGAGGAAGAGGACCGCTGCGCCACACGCCGCCTGCCAAGGGTCGTCTGCGCACCCCCACAATCACCGTTCTCGCAATATAAATAATTCCCGCTGTTTTAGTGTCGATTGTGCTATGATTGTGACGAAATTTTGAATAATTTTGTAGGTTTATTTGCTGGTAATATTGTGCTTTGTGTTTGTACAATGGGTGAGTCAGTATTTAGCCTGGTAAGGAATTAATGACAAGCACGACTGGTGGTACAAGGGAAGAGTGTGATGCGCACCTCACTCAAGGCTCTTGGCTTGTTATACACTCACCTACTTGTAACAATGTTTTGCTTTTATTAACAAGCTTAGCAACAAGCAACACACGGCAATGTGCTGCTACCCTATTCTGTATGAAAGATTACACAGTGTAGATCAAAAACTAGCTATAAGTTCATCTAATATCCCCATCTCACAGGACGGTTATAGCCACACATGGAGTCAGGAGTGAACATAAAATGCTGAACTATTAGCCTCCACTAGCAAACAAAATCTGGGTACAGCACAAGAATATCTTCCAATATTCCTGAGTGTATGAAGTAATTACAGAGCTCAAAGTACCTCATGCCGTTTGATCTGAAGTCACTGATAACAGGGCAATCACAGATATAGTGATGGAGAGTATGTCTCAGCTCTTGTTCACATAGTTTACAATTGGAATGTTCACCATTGGGGGATTCATTACCTGCAGCCACCTGCCATAGATATTGATATCCCAGCCTAATTCTGGCAGTTACAATGTCACACTCTCTAGTGGATGTTTTATGCTGCCCGTACATATAATTCTCGGTTCTAAATATGTCATAGCTCTCTATATTCGTGTTTTCTAGCCTTTGAGTGTATTTAACTGTAGTTAACTTACTGTCACTATTATTATTCACACTAAGGTATTTGTATTGCCGCAGTTTTTAATACGCCGATCATTGACTTTAAAAAACAGGAGGATTACTGATAGGGGGGGATAGGGTCCTAGTTTTATCTGTGGAGACGATAAGCCCACATTCAATACACTTATTTGCAAGTGTATCAGGGAGAGTCTACAGCTGGTTGTCACTGTTTATGGCAATTGTCGTCTACATAGATGATGACAGATGACAGCCTCATCGATTTGTGTAAGTACATCAGCTGTTAGTCTATGCATCAGCACATTGAAAAGTGTAAGACTGAGGACTCCTCCCTGAAGTGTGCCCAATTCAAACGAGGCATTACAGCCACTCTTAACCACCTTTATAGATGACTGCGGCAGTTGTTACTCAAATTGTGGGGGGTTCAGTCCCTGAGCCCATTATGTGCCTCTGTAACCCTTTCCACTATCGCCCACAGGATGGGTATGGGGTGCATAATAAATGAACTAAACTAACTCATGGATATCGCTTTTAGGAGCTTGAAATATATTGTTTATTTTGAACCATGGAAAGAGGTATGCCCGGGCACTGCCAGTGTAACGTTGATCTTCTTCCCTTATTCTCCTTTATTGGTAATATTTCCTTATAATATTTACCTTATTTGTAATTGAGTGTAACTTTTTATTCCTCCCTCCCCCCTCCCCGTCCCATCCCAAATCGTTATCCTGACCCCTTCCCAGTGCTATATAGTACTGTGAATATACTTTTGCTCAGTTTACAATTAAATCCCTTAAATCCTCTTTGACTATTGGAGCCTTCTATAGATTTCCTAATACTAACATAGCTTCTTTCTCAGACAACCTAAGGAATCTTATTATAAACAACAATCTCAACAAAAACCACATCATTCTGGGAGGAGACTTTAATATTGACCTGGGTCAACAAAACTGCTCTCAAGTTGACTATTTCCTTAACAGCATGAACTCCTGTATGCTAATCCCCACTATCACCAAACCTACCCGAGTCACTCAAACATCAGCCACTACCTTGGACCACATATGGACAAACATAACAGCTCCCCTTGTATCTGGTATAATCTACGACAGAACAACTGACCACTATCCTACCTTTCTCATAGCGAACATGGACATAACACCACCAAAAAGCAAGAAACTTTCATTTAGGCTACACAGTGAATCAGCTTTAGACAATCTTACAGAGGCACTTCACAATATTAACTGGGATTCTGAATTCAATAATACCCATGATATAAATTCATTAGCTAACCTCTTCCTCTCCAAAACTCTAAGCCTCTACAACCTTCATTGTCCCCTTCTTACAAAGCAAGTAACTGATAAAAGATTAAACAATCCATGGCTCACAAGTGGCATTCTCAACTCAATCAACAAGAAACATGAATATGAAAAGAAAGTTAGGATTGGCCTAGTTTCAAAGGAAGTAGCTAAAAGGTACTCATCAATGCTTACCAGTATCATAAGAAAGGCAAAACTTGCATATTATGTGAATAGATTCAATGAAGCAAAAGGCAACATGAAAAACACTTGGAAAACTATCTCTAGTATCCTAGGAACTAAACAACACTCACATAACCAAATACAACTCTATAAGGATGGGTATACACCGTCAACTGATTTAGAAATGGCAATGAATTTAATAGTTTCTTTTCATCGGTTGGTGCTAATCTTGCCAGTAAAATCCCACAGACTCAGACACATATTAACACATATCTCTCAGGCAGCTATCCAAACTCTCTTCTCCTTTCACCAATCAGCCCGGCAGATGTTGTGTCCATCATACACTCTCTAAAAACCAAGGCAGGGAACACCAGTGAAATTCCGTCCATTGTGTACAAGAGAGCCTCCCATGCCCTTGCCTCACCCATAGCACTACTGTTCAACAAATCTATAGAGTGTCACACCTTCCCTGATATCCTCAAAAAAGCAAGAGTAACGCCAGTCCATAAAGGAGGCAATCCGGCGGACATAAACAATTATAGACCAATATCAAATCTACCCATTCTATCAAAAATATTTGAAAAAATTATTTACAAACAGCTCTATTCCTACCTCGTAAAATTCGACATACTCAGCCCCTGCCAGTTTGGCTTCCGGTCCCAAAAGAGTACCAATGATGCAATCATTAGTCTCCTTGACATTATCAACTCAGCCCTTGACAAAAATGAGTTTCCGATTGGACTCTTCATTGACCTAAGAAAAGCCTTTGATACTGTTAATCACAACTACCTCTTACTTAAACTCCAGCATTATGGAATCCGAGGCCTTGCCCTTGACTACATCCGATCCTATCTTAGTGACAGACACCAATATGTAACCATCAATGATACAACTTCTTCCACTCTACCAATTACCGTTGGAGTGCCACAGGGCAGCATCTTAGGACCTCTTCTATTTCTTATATATATAAACGATCTGCCTAATGTCTCTAATATTCTCAAACCTATATTGTTTGCTGACGATACTACCCTTATCTACTCAAACCTCAACCCACATACACTAAATAATGTTGTGAATAATGAATTAAAAAAAGTCCACTTATGGATGTCAACGAACAAACTAACATTAAACATCGAAAAGACTTACTACATCTTATTTGGAAGCAAATCATCAAATGCAATTCAGCTACAGATAGACAACATTAACATCAGTAATAAAAATGATGGCAAGTTTCTTGGCCTATTCCTAGACAAGAGACTCAACTTCAGCACCCACATTCAACACATAACTAAGTCTCTAAGACAGTTGGTATACTCTCCAAAATCAGATATTATGTTCCTAACTCTGCTCTCCTCTCACTATATTATGCACTAATCTACCCCTATCTTAATTATGGTATCTGTGCATGGGGGTCTACCACTGCAAACCACCTTAAGCCCATCATCACACAGCAAAAATCTGCTATCAGAATAATAACTAACTCTGCTTTCAGACAACACTCAGCTCCCTTGTTTAAATCTCTAAACTTGCTAAATATTAACTCCCTCCACACATTCTCTTGTGTCAACTACATTTACAAAACCCTGTTCTTAAATGCAAACCATGCTCTGAAACTCTCCCTGGACAGATGTAATAGGACCCATTATCACCACACCAGAAATAAATATCTCTTTGATATCCCCAGGGTCAAACTTAATCTGTGTAAACACTCTATGCAAATTAAGGGACCTAGTCTATGGAACTCACTCCCTAGTGAATTGAAAAACTGTAAAACTCGTAATGGCTTGGCGCTTTTCCATGATAGTTCCATTCCATTGGTAATACTGGCTTTGGTAGTTTCCACAGTTTTAGTATCAATTCTACTGTCGTACACACTTGCCACACTGGACTGATGATACTGTTAAAGAACAGTTTATCTCAAAGCTGAAAAACAGACTGCCTCCACCCCATAAAATTATGTATTCCAAGATTATTAAATTAGGGAGAGTTCTTTTGATAATTACTAATTAATGGACCGCCAGTGGGTCATGGGGGAAAGTACCGAGCCCTTTTAATAAACCTTCAGGCCTGATGTTGAATTACTTTACGTATTAAATTAATGATTTGATAATTACTGTAGAGGATTAGGGGACTTCCCTGCTCTGTTATTTGATAATTACCTGTGAGGCTTTAGGTTTCTATCATTTAGTTTAGTTTAGTTCATTTATTATGCACCCCATACCCATCTTGTGGGCGGTAGTGGAAAGGGTTACAGAGGCACATAATGGGCTCAGGGACTGAACCCCACAATTCATTTAGCTAAGCAAGTTACAATCTTGATGAGCTAGTTACAAAATTCAATATAAGTCGTCACATCAACACTCGGTTCGAGATCGACCTCAAGTACAGGTTCTAAATTAATATTCTGATGATGTACTCAGCAAAGCATCAGCACTTACAAATTTAGCAATATGTCCCCAGTTGCTAACTGTAAGTTAGCAGTTAGTAGTAAATGCAGGTGACTGTAACCTTTCCACCAATGCCCACAGGATGTGGGGCGGTGCGCATGATAAGCAAATCAAGTTGTGAAACTAGTTCACTGCATATGTAAGCTGCTTGGCTCGAAGTGTATGCTCGTGATAGTTCTCGAACCCACTGTTGATATAATACGGTAAACTACCGCCCACAGGACAGGCATGGGGTCAACTACCGCCCACAGGACAGGCATGGGGTCAACTACCGCCCACAGGACAGGCATGGGGTCAACTACCGCCCAC